TCACGCTGACTAAACTCCTGTGAGCAAAGGCTCCCACCACTCTGGCAGATGTCCTGTCAGCTGGCTAATGGTCTGTGAAACTTCAGCACACCAGGGAATGCCACTCCTCCAGATGAAGCCTTCAGCGGGAAAGAGAATCTTTATCCACATCTTCAAAGGTGACATTTTCTCCTGTAGTTTAAGACAGCAGAGTTTAGTTACCTAGAGCAGTTTGTGTTGGGAATCAGCACTGTGCAGTCAAATGTAAGCACCCTGTCCCCTCAGGAGGAAACAAAGGCTTCCCTTTCGAAGGGACTTGAACAAGGTGGTGATACTTTGCTTATGATCTAACAAATAAAGCTTGCCTGGACATCAGAAGGCAAAGCTAGCCACACTAGTTAGCCATAGAGGCCAGGCAGTGGTGGCACACACCATTAATGCCAGCACTTGGCAGACAGAGGCAGATGGATCTCTATTAGTTCAAGGCCACCCTGGGCAACACAAAATTGATCCAGTCTAAAAGAGAAACAGAGCTCACACAAAGGTGATCTCAGCACTTGGAATCCCACGCCTTTAATCCCAGTACTGAGGTTTGGTGGAGACAGATGCAGTCTAGGTAGTGTGAGGAGCAGTCTGAGGAACAGTGCAGTCTGTAAGCAGTCTGAGGATGCAGTTTGAGGATAGGATCGCCTCTTTGGTCTGAGCACTGGTAGAGGTGAGAACTCACTAGTGTCTGCTTTGCTCCTCTGATCTTCAGCTTTAACCCCAATATCTGACTCTGAGTTTTTATTAAGACCTATTAGAACTCATGCTACAGGCAAATATTAAGGAACAGTTACCAGAGGCGTCTGGCTAGCCCAGGATTTCTCTTTCACTGAGATACCTCCTTCACTGTTGGTTTCCCATTCCTGAGCACACATAGCCAACCTCTCCTTCCTACCCCCGGGACCCTTAGTTCTTTGCCCATGGGCCTGATTGCAAGGCTGGTGCCAGGCACGGGTGCACAAGTACACATTATTACTTCCACTCCTCTGCCAACAGCTCCAACCATTAGGAGGAGGGGCCTTCTTGAATGTAAAAGCCATTTCAGACTTTTGTGTTTTCTGTCAGAAGACTCATGTAAAATGCCCCTGGGAAGTAGTAGTTCCCGTAAGCTTACAAAGCCGCTAACCTTTTTACCCCCCAATTCTAGTGTTCTCCAGCCATTAGCTATTGTAGACTTGATTGTTCTTTCCCAAGAGCTGTATTTAAGCCACAAAGAGCAGCTCTGAGAAACAGAAGCACAGTTGTTGCACACACACACACACACACACACACACACACACACACACACACACACACACACACAAGTCTCACACTGAATAATTGGGGATTAAACCAGAACACTCAGCTCCACCCTGTGTGCCACATACCTGGGGTGACAAGCTTTGTGACCAGTCACCAGCTTCAGTCCAAACACTGAAGAAAAACCTGTGTGTATAGGTTAGTATTTGAAGCCCCAAGTGGCAAGTGTGCCACTTAGCAGTCCATCAGAGCTCAGTTGGCTGAGTAAATAGATGAATTAAGCATGGTGAGAGCCCATGGGTGCAGAAAAGCACCTCTTCCTGCCAGCTATGTTCACAAGAGATGCCCGAACTGGACCTGAAAGATAACACTAACTCCACTCCAGTGTGGGGACCACTGTGCCTTTGCTCCAGTCATGCAGCTGCTGGCTCCTCAGGAGAGCGCAGGGATTCTGCAAGGTTTGGGGTGCGGACTCTATAGAAGACTGCTATGGGAAGAGCAGCCTGGGGGCTCTGAGGACTCTGTGGACATTTAGAAGGGGGTGATGAATCTGATCCAAAGGCACAGGAAGACAGGACAGGAGGCTTGGTAACCTCCTAAGCTGCAGTGTCCCACCCAGAGCCTGTGCAGCAGGGTCAGACCTTTGTAAATACTGTCCCACTGGTGTTTGTTATTGTTGCTGTTTTCCTTTTTTCTTTTTCTTTTTCTTTTTATAGGTCCCCTGGTTCTCCCATCAGTTAATGGCATATTTGGGTCCTGAATCCAGTCTTCTGATGCTTCAATTTATTATTGTTATTATTATTATTAACATCAGTCTTCAATTATCTATCCAAAGGGTTTTAGGGTTTGGGCTAATTGCTGTGTCTGTTGAATCCTAGTTTTCAGCTCACTTTGTATCAGGTTTCATCTTTCGGAGAGGAGTGCTTTGGAGGTTTTAAGATCAGTAGGGTCTATTGAGGAGTGCTCACAAAGACCCGCCTTGTCAAGCTGTTGCTATGCAGGGCTAAGCTGTCTACATGGTGCTGATGCTGGGAGCTTTGGCATCTCTGCACTTCACAGTATCACCCTCAGGGATGCAGCTTCAAAAATTAACACATATTTGATTGAGTTTCTTAGTAACTGATCTTTCAGTTTTGTTTTGTTTTAACTCGTTTGCAAGTTTGCAACCAGTCCATGTCAGCAGCTGACATAAAACTAACAAATTATTTTAGGCCTCAAAGTCACCCAGTTGGCATTCACAGAGATCTTCCCTTGTCATTGATGCTCTTTGGGTCTGTCCTTTGTGATTGCTCAGGGCAGCCACAGTGACACAGTCTCTGCCTTCTCCATCCTCCAGCTCTGACTCCTCTTCCTGGCGGCATGCACACAAGGTGCTGCTGCCTTTAGCATCACTTGAGAGGGAGGTCACCAGGGTAGCATGTTGGGGGAGGGTATCAAGAGAGTATCCAGGTTGGCAAGGCAACCTGTGGCCCCAGAGTTGACTCCACAGCTATTTAATGGTTCTAAGCAAAGGGTCTGGTCCCAGGAAGAGGCAAAGGGGTGTACTGTCCTGCTATTCCCATCATGTCCTTCCTTAAGCTTTCTGTTTGCACCCTAACACTGGAACTTTCATTTCCCACAACTCTGAAGCACTCCTTACCACTGGGATTGGTGTCTCACTAGCACAAAAGCCTAAGGACTGGAACAGAGTGTCTGTATCCCACAGCCTCTAAAAGAAAGCTGAGGTCCCATAGCAGTTGGAGTCTGAGTCATGACTAGTCAGCTGTGTGTTCTCTCCATGCGGGGCAGAAGAGTACAGCCTCCTGCAACCATCTGTATCACTAAACTTCTGTGAGGTGGCTGAGGTGGCTGGGTGTGTTTAGTGGCATGTCCCCTCATCTTAGTGAAGCTGTGTTCACTGTGGACCAGGTTCTAAGGCTTTAAGTGCAGGGATCTCTGAAGAATCTAGGCAAAATGCAGATTCCTATGCCCTGCTTTGGATGAGCCGAGAGCCCGCTTCTCCAATGGGCTGTTGTGTAAAATAGATGCTGTGTGGACCCCACACTATTGGTTGCCAGCTGTGGCTACTGATTGGGGTATCTGGGAAGAGCCTTTTAAATCTCCATGCCTGACTGCCCAACCCAGTGAAATCAGAATTCTGAGGCCAAGACCGGGATACTAGTAGTTTCCAAACTCACCAGACAACTCCTGCCTAGATTGTTTGTGTGAGGGCCTGGGTTGATGATGCCATGCATGCCTGCCACGCTGGGAAGCTGCAGAAGTATGTTGTGTGTGATAGTGGGCGTGAGCTAAAGTGAGTACCTACCTTCAATTCACCAGCTCCAAAGATTCCTGGAACCATTCCAGAGTCTTAGCAAAAGCCCTCAAAGGGTTCTCGCTATTCTCTTTGGCTCTGGATCTCCACTATATAGCTGGCTGCCCCAGATTCTTCTTGGCAGGCCTAGCAGGGCTGCGGGGAGTCAATAAGTGGGTAAAACTGAAGATCAGACCTTCCTCTAGAGCCAGGGTCTCAAAACTGCTGTTTATGAAACCGAGAGTGAAGGTGTGATGTGGTGTGTGTGTGTGTGTGTGTGTGTGTGTGTGTGTGTGTGTGTGTGTGGCCAGCTGCCCAGTGATTCTCATGTGAGATCAGAGAGAAGAACAAGGCTTCAAGATAACAGGAGACTTTAAAAAATAAACTTAGGGGCCTGTTATGTGGATAAGGGTGCTTGCTATCAAGTCTGACAGCCTGAGTTCTAACCCTGGAAGCCATATAGTAGGAGGAAAGACCTGACTCCCTTGACTTGTATACAGACATACACACACACACTCACACACATACACATACTCATACACTCATACACACATTCACACACTCACACACACATACACATACTCACACGCATACACATGCACACACAGATATACACACATTCACACATACATACACACACATGCACACACATACAGACACTCACACACATATACACACTCACACACACATTCACACACACACACACACACTCTCACACATATACACACAAATAAATAAATGCAAACTTTTGGAGGGAAAGAGATATATTTGTATTTTCTTTCACATTTTTAAAGCTAGCTCTAAAAAATGCCAAAAAATAAACAAGTGATTTTTAAAACAATATGTATTTAATATTTTTTAATGAAAATAGATGTTTTTTTAAGATGGCTATTCCTCCCCTGCCATCCCACACTGGTGCTTTTGAGGCCAATGTGTAAAGCAGGGAGATGCCACAGCTGGGTTTGAAGAACTCAGTCCAAGAGGGAAAATGAAGCATATCACTGAGTTAATTGGGATGAGGCTGGGTGCTGTAACAAAACCAACACCATTCTAGAGTCGAGACCAAAGTTAGTGAGCTGGTAGCCAGATCAGGAGAAGAAACCCCTCAGCAGTCATTTGGGTACCTCCCACATTGTCTCCTATCTGTGCCCTGAAGAGGAGGGAGGGGCATGACCCCATGGGGAGCACCCCTTAATAAGCAGGACCACATACCCTCTCAGGCCTTTGACCAGAGCCCCATTGTATGGTCTCTGGCCTTCATGAACAGATTCAGCCAGAGTTTCCACTAAGCAACATTTGCACATGACAACACAGAGCAGTGAAGTGTGGCTGCTGCCCCAGGAATGTTGACCACAACTAGACTTGGTCCCTGAATCAGGTGACAGGGACCATGGAGCTGAAATGGTGTTCTGAAGGTGTGTGCTGTTTTTCCTTCTTTCCATAGATATCGCCAATGGCACCAGTTCAGGGGGGTACCGCCCACCTCCCAGAACCAAAGAAGTCATCATCAATGGCCAGACTGTGAAACTAAAGTACTGTTTTACCTGCAAGATTTTCCGTCCCCCTCGGGCTTCCCACTGCAGCCTGTGTGATAACTGCGTAGGTGAGTAGGACCCGGATGCTACATTCCCTGCTGGGATGCTAAAATGGAGAGGACCTGTCTTTAATGCTTCTACTAAAGGCCTCCACAGAGGTGAGAGTGGGAACTTTCTCTCCTCATACCTGGAAGGAGACAGGCACACTCAGGACAGTGTCTCACTCAGTAACACATTGTTGATTTCCAACACTCTCCTTCAATCTCAGAATTTGTAGTCTCAATTCTTCCTGAGAAAAATTAAATTTTACAAAGTAACTCACACTGTGCCAAGAAATCTTATTAACCTTAAATTCACTTTATCCTAACTTTAATAATCTGCAGTTTGATACAAGGGTCATGTTTTCCCTGTCTGTATTTGTCTTGGTGCTTATTAACTTAAATGTCTGTTGGTTTGTGGTCCCCTGTGGAGAAGCCTGAAATTTTCTTCTACCCTTCCCGAGTAGTAAGGAGACTGTACTTAGGGCTAGGACTGTGCCATAGGGTGGCATAGTCCTGTCTCCAGGCTCCAAATGCTACTGTATTGTGATGGCTGAAAGAAACAGAAATGCTCAGAGCAGTCAGAATAGTGCCAGGCTATGAGCAAGTGTTGGCTACTGCTGCTGCTGCTGCTTGTTACTGCTGTTGTTGTTGTTGTTGCTGTTGCTGTGTTACTGTTACTATTGCTGCTGTTGTTACCGTTACTGCTGTTGTTGCTTTACCGTTACTGCTGTTGCTGCTGTCACTGCTGCTGCTGTTACTGCCACTATTATTGTCACTGTTGCTGACACTCTCTTGGTGGCTTTCTCTTGGGAAGTCCTTGATACAGTGTCACCCTCTGCAATTATGACAATGGAAATATACCATGTCCTCCATGCAGGACATTTGGGGTATCTATAAGGCCATTTGACTGACTTGGTGTGTTTTGATACCCTACCTTAAGGACATTTGGGGCCAGACAACATGGTAACTTCAGTGTCATCCAGGGAGCAGCCTGTAAGGCTGATGAGCAGCCTTGGGGGCCTTTTCTTGGGTTGTCATTTGTCCCTTGGGTCTGTTACCAGATGGAATAGTTTGTAACTTTAGCACTCCTGTTATTTTTCATGTTCTCTCCTGTATGTATGGGGGGGGGTGTGGGGTGTGCTAATCCTAAGATGTGTTTTAACAAATAAGAAATTGTTATCTACAAACCTAAAGTCTCTACTTCCTTATCATTTGTGAAAAGATTTTGTCCATTTCTAAACACTTTTGGTTCCTGCTTCCTCATTTTCACCAATTTGTCTCAGTCCTGTCTCCTGGCTCTAAGTTAGATCCACAGTCATCCTTAAGAAGAAAGCCTTTCACATCTCATAGTGGGTTATGGTTTTTAAATTCCTGTTGGAGACTTGTCACTTCCTACAAATCATATAGTCACTCCCAGTATGGTCCCACATTAAAATTTCCAATAAATTGGGCTGTAAATCCCCTTGCCAAAATTATGTATGGGTTTTCACAGTTGATAGGCTGTTTTGCCATAGTAAAACTGTTTGAGATAGTGTCCCTGCTGGTGAACTCTACCAATTGTGAAAGCTAGAGCCATCAACCTACAATGTATAGGAGGCAAGCGTGGCCCTTTCCGAGGACTTGGTCACCACAACAGCCCACATTCAAGCTTGGCAATCTTCCATGATAGAGACAACAAAGGGAAAGAGAAAAGAGAGGAAGTGGCAAGGTCTTCGGTGGGGTCAGGAAGAGGAAGTCCAGCCTAATGGTACATTGTTGATGGGGCCTATAAGGTTTGGTCCACAGTCCTGGGGCTGACCTTAACCAAGTCCCTCTATGGAGGACAGGTTAGGTGAGTCACATGCAGTTGGTTAAAAATAAAGTTGTTAATTGCACTCCACACGCACGCACACACACACACACACACACACACACACACACACACACACACACAGGCATGCATGTACGCATCCACACGCAGTGTTATCGAAGCCTACAAAGCTTTGGGTTTTTCCAGTTAGTTGTACAACACCGGCCTTTGGCCTGACTGATGAGCAGGCCACAGACCAGACCTCTGCTTTCAGTAAATAGAATAGAAGGCAGAAGTCTCCCACAGCGGAGTGTAATTGCAAGGTTGCTGCTAGTGTATTTTTAGATAGATGGGTTTTACCGAAACAGTTCTACTTTTTGCAGCAAATAAAAAGACAGCGTGTGTTGGAAGCCCAGGTTAGAATGCAGGCTCCTCTGCCCTTGTAAGGAGTGGCTTTGGGTCATTACTTCCCAGACACAGTGAATAATTGCCATCTTGCATTAGGAGAGAAAAGAGAGGAAATGCAGGTTTCCAGGATACCTCAGAAAAAAATTATTTTTCTTTGTTAAATACATTTTAAATGAGAGCCAAGTCCTAAGAGCTTTGCATTTTTAGTCAAGGGCTGAGGGAAGTACTTTGTTGAAGGCTGAATGCTGATATAACCACAGAAATAGTAGGCAGAACCTAGTGGTTGGGACCTGGCCTTCAGCACACAGACTCAGGGCTGTGTCACTAGAGAACCCTGAAAGCTTAGAAAGTTTTCTCACTACTCCCAACTGTTTCCAATCCTATAAAACAAGGTGAAGTCACAAAAAGACAAACATGGTATGCACTCACTCATATATGGATTTTACACATAGAGCAAAGGATTACCAGCCTACAATCCACACCACCAGAGAAGCTAGGAAACAAGGAGGACTCCAAGAGAGACATACATGGTCCCCCCAGAGAAGGGGAAGGGACAAGATCTCCTGAGCAAATTGGGAGCATGGGGAGAGGGAAAACGGAGCTAGGAGAATGAGACGGGGAGAAGAGGAGGGGTGAGGAGGACATAAAGGGAGCAGGAAGGTTGTGTAGGGGGAAGAATAGAGGAGTGCAAAATAAGAGATACCATAAGAGAGGGAGCCATTATAGGTTTAAAGAGAAATCAGGCACTAGGGAAGTGTCTGGAGTTCTACAAGAATGACACCAACTAGCCATCTAAGCAACAGTGGAGAGGCTACCTTTAATGCCATCCCCTGATAATGAGATTGATGACTGTCTTATATGCCATCCTATAGCTTTCATCCAGCAGTTGATGGAAGTTGAAACAGACACCCACAGCTAATCACTGAACTGAACTGGAATCCAGTTGCAGAGAAGGAGGAGTGATGAGAAAAGGGGTCAAGACCAGGCTGGTGAAACCCACAGAAATAGCTGACCAGAATAAGGGAGTGCTCTTGGTCCCCAGACTGATCACTGGGAAACCAGCATGGGACTGAGCCAGACCACATGAATGTGGGTGTCAGTGAGGAGGCCTGGGAAATCTATGGGACCTCTTGTAGAAGATCAGTACTTATCCCTAGCATAGGAATGGACTTCGGGAGCCCACTTCACATAGAGAGATACTCCCTCAGCCTAGACACACGGGGGAGGGCCTAACCCCTGCTCCAAATGATATGACAAACTTTGAAGATTTCCCCCATGGAAGGCCTCACCCTCCCTGGGGAGCAGAAATGGTGTGGGACAGGTAGTGTGTTAGTGGGGGGCAGAGGAGGAGGGGAGGGAGAGAGAACTGGGATTGACATGTAAAACAATCTTGTTTCTAATTTAAATTTAAAAATGGGGAAAAAAGAAAGAAAGCAAACAAAGAAAAACAAAACCAAAACAAAATGTAACCAAAGTACACACACACACACACACACACACACACACACACACACACAATAAATAAATAAATAAATAAATAAATAAATAAATAAATAAATAAATCAAGGTGAGCCTAGATTGCTTATAAATTTCATCTAAGGATTACGTAGGGCTATGCCCACTAGAGTACCCTGCTCAGACATGGAATACACAAAGGGGTCAGTAAGTATCCCCACCAACATTCCCACTCCAAGTTAGGAGTGCTGCTCCCAGGTGTCTTATTTAAGCAAGATTCAGTGCCGGCAGAGATGACTCAGTCAGTGATGTGTTTGGCCCACAAGCAGGAGGACCTGAGTTCAGATCCCCAGCACCCATGTTCAGAGTCAGGTGCATGTCTCTAACCCCAGTGCTGGGGAGGTAAAGCCAGACAGATCCTGGAGCTCATTGGCCAGCTGATCTAACCGAATTGGTGAGCCTCAGGTTCAATGAGCAAACTTGTCTCGAAAAATGAGATAGTGGGTAG